AATTGAAGACCAAATGAATAAAATGAAGTGAGAAGAGAAGTTTAGAGAAAAAACAGCAAAAAGAAATGAACGAAGCCTCCAAGAAATATGGGACCATGTGAAAAGACCAAATCTACATTTGATTGGTGTACCTGAAAGAGACACGGAGAATGGAACCAAGTTGGAAAACACTCTGCAGGGTATTATCCAGGAGAACTTCCCCAACCTAGCAAGGCAGGTCAACATTCAAATTCACGAAATACAGAGAACACCACAAAGATATTCCTCGAGAAGAGCAACTCCAAGACACATAATTGTCAGATTCACCAACGTTGAAATGAAGGAAAAAATGTTAAGGGCAGTCAGAGAGAAAGGTCGGGTTACCCACAAAGGGAAGCCATCAGACTAACAGCAGATCTCTCGGCAGAAACTCTCCAAGCCAGAAAAGAGTGGAGGCCAATACTCAACATTCTTAAAGAAAAGAATTTTCAACCCAGAATTTCATATCCAGCCAGACTAAGCTTCATAAGTGAGGAGAAATAAAATCCTTTACAGACAAGCAAATGCTGAGAGATTCTGTCACCACCAGGCCTGCCTTACAAGAGCTCCTGAAGGAAGCACTAAACATGGAAAGGAACAACCAGTACCAGCCACTGCAAAAACATGCCAAAATGTAAAGACCATCAATGCTAGGAAGAAACTGCATCAGTTAACAGGCAAAATAACAAGCTAGCATCATAATGACAGGATCAAACTCACACATAAAAAAATATTAACTTTAAATGCAAACGGGCTAAATGCTCCCATTAAAAGACACAGACTGGCAAATTGGATAAAGAGTCAAAATCCATCATTGTGCTGTATTCAGGAGACCCATCTCATGTGCAGAGACACACATAGGCTCAAAATAAAGGGATGGAGGAAGGTCTACCAAGCAAATGGAAAACAAACAAACAAAAAAAGCAGTGTTTGCAATCCTAGCCTCTGATAAAACAGACTCTAAACCAACAAAGATCAAAAGAGTCAAAGAAGGTCATTACATAATGGTAAATGGATCAATTCAAGAAGAAGAGCTAACTATGCTAAATATATATGTACCCAATACAGGAGCACCCAGATTCACAAAGCAAGTCCTCAAAGACCTACAAATAGACTTAGACTCCCACACAATAATAATGGGAGAGTTTAACACCCCACTGTCAACATTAGACAGATCAATGAGACAGAAAGTTAACAAGGATATCCAGGAATTGAACTCAGCTCTGCACCAACCGGATCTAATAGACATCTACAGAACTCTCCACTCCAAATCAACAGAATACACATTCTTCTCAGCACCACATCACACTTATTCCAAAATTCACCACCTTGTTGGAAGCAAAGCACTCCTCAGCAAATAAAAAAGAACAGAAATTATAACAAACTGTCTCTCAGACCACAGTGTAATCAAATTAGAACTCAGGATTAAGAAACTCACTCAAAACCATTCAACTACATGGAAACTGAACAACTTGCTCGTGAATGACTACTGGGTACATAATGAAATGAAGGCAGAAATAAAGATGTTCTTTGAAACCAATGAGAACAAAGACACAACCTACCAGAATCTCTGGGACACATTTAAAGCAGTGTCTAGAGGGAAATTTATAGTACTAAATGCCCACAAGAGAAAGCAGGAAAGATCTAAAATTGACACCCTAACATCACAGTTAAAAGAACTAAAGAAGCAAGAGCAAACACATTCAAAGGCTAGCAGAAGGCAAGAAATAACTAAGATCAGAGCAGAACTGAAGGAAATAGAGACAGAAAAAACCCTTCAAAAAATCAATGAATCCAGGAGGTGGTTTTTTGAAAAGATCAACAAAATTGACAGACTGCTAGCAAGACTAATAAAGAAGAAAAGAGAGAAGAACCAAATAGACACAATAAAAAAAGAAAAAGGGGATATCACCACCAATCCCACAGAAATACAAACTACCATCTGAGAATACTATAAACACCTCTATGCAAATAAACTAGAAAATCTAAAAGAAATGGATAAATTCCTGGACACATACACCCTCCCAAGACTAAACCAGGAAGAAGTTGAATCCCTTAATAGACCAATAAGAGGTTCGGAAATTGAGGCAATAATAACCTACCAACCAAAAAAAGACCAGGACCAGAGGGATTCACAGTCGAATTCTACCAGAGGTACAAGGAGGAGTTGGTACCATTCCTTCTGAAACTATTCCAATCAATAGAAAAATAGAGAATCCTCCCTAATTCATTTTACGAGGCCAACATCATCCTGATACCAAAGCCTGGTAGAGATACAACAAAAAAAGAGAATTTTAGACCAATATCCCTGATGACATCAGTGCAAAAATCCTCAATAAAGTACTGGTAAACCGAATCCAGCAGCACATCAAAAAGCTTATCCACCATGATAAAGTTGACTTCATCCCTGGGATGCAAGGCTGGTTCAACATATGGAAATCAATAAACGTAATCCATCATATAAACAGAACCAAAGACAAAAACCACATGATTATCTCAACAGATGCACAAAAGGCCTTCAACAAAATTCAACAGCCCTTCATGCTAAAAACTCAATAAACTAGGTATTGATGAGATGTATCTCAAAATAATAAGAGCTATTTATGACAAACCAACAGCCAATATCATACTGAATGGGCAAAAACTAGAAGCACTCCCTTTGAAAACTGGCACAAGACAGGGATGCCCTCTCTCACCACTCCTTTTCAACACAGTGTTGGAAGTTCTGGCCAGGGCAATCAGGCAAGAGAAAGAAATAAAGGGTATTCAATTAGGAAAAGAGGAAATCAAATTGTCCCTGTTTGCAGATGACATGATTGTATATTTAGAAAACCCCATCATGTTAGCCCAAAATCTCCTCTAAGATGATAAGCAACTTCAGGAAAGTCTCAGGATACAAAATCAATGTGCAAAACTCACAAGTATTCCTATACACCAATAACAGACAGAGAGCCAAATCATGAGTGAACTCACATTCACAACTGCTGCAAAGACAATAAAACACCTAGGAATACAACTTACAAGGGATGTGAAGGACCTCTTCAAGGAGAACTACAAACCACTGCTCAATGAAATAAAAGAGGACACAAACAAATGGAAAAATATTCCATGCTTATGGATAGGAAGAATCAATATTGTGAAAATGGCCATACTGCCCATCCCCATCATGCAATGACTTTCTTCACAGAATTGGAAAAAACTACTTTAAACTTCATATGGAACCAAAAAAGAGCCAGCATTGCCAAGACAATCCTAAGGCAAGAGTACAAAGCTGGAGGCATCACACTACCTGACTTCAAACTATACTACAAGGCTACAGTAACCAAAACAGCATGGTACTGGTACCAAGACAGAGATAATAGACCAATGGAACAGAATAGAGCCCTCAGAAATAATACCACACATATACAACCATCTGATCTTTGACAGACCTGACAAAAGCAAGAAATGGGGAAAGGATTCCCTATTTAATAAATGGTGCTGGGAAAACTGGCTAGCCCTATGTAGAAAGCTGAAACTGGATCCCTTCCTTACACTGTATACAAAAATTAATTCAAGATGGATTAAAGACTTAAATGTTAGACCTAAAACCATAAAAACTCTAGAAGAAAAGCTAGGCAATACCATTCAGGCCATAGGCATGGGCAAGAACTTCATAACTAAAACACCAAAAGCAATGGCAACAAAAGCCAAAATTGACAAATGGGGTGTAATTAAACTAAAGAGCTTCTGCACAGCAAAAGAAACTACCATCAGAGTGAACAGGCAACCTACAGAATGGGAGAAAACTTTTAAAATCTACCCATCTGACAAAGGGCTAATATCCAGAATCTACAAAGAACTTAAACAAATTTACAACAACAACAACAAAAAACAACCCTATCAAAAAGTGGGCAAAGGATATGAACAGATACTTCTCAAAAGAAGGCATTTATGCAGCCAACAGACACATGAAAAAATGCTCATCGTCACTGGCCACCAGAGAAATGCAAATCAAAACCACAATGACATATCATCTCACACCAGTTAGAATGGCGATCATTAGAAAGTCAGGAAACAACAGGTGCTGGAAAAGATGTGGAGAAACAGGAATGCTTTTACACTGTTGGTGGGAGTGTAAATTAGTTTAACCACTGTGGAAGACAGTATGGCGATTCCTTAAGGATCTAGAACTAGGAATACCATTTGACCCAGTCATCCCATTACTGGGCATACACCCAAAGGATTATAAATCATACTGCTATAAAGACACATGTACATGTATGTTTATTGCAGCACTATTCACAACAGCAAAGACTTGGAACCAACCCAAATGTCCATCAATGATAGACTGGATTAAGAAAATGTGACACATATGCACCATGGAATACTTTGCAGCCATAAAAAAGGATGAATTCATGTCCTTTGTAGGGACATGGATGAAGCTAGAAACCATAATTCTCAGCAAACTATCCCAAGGACAGAAAACTAAACACTGCATGGTCTCACTCACAGGTGGGAACTGAACAATGAGAACACTTGGACACAGGGTGGGGAACATCACACACTGGGACCTGTTGTGGGGTGGGGGGAGGGGGAAGGGATAGCATTAAGAGACATACCTAATGTAAATGACGAGGTAATGGGTGCAGCACACCAACATGGCACATGTATACATAGGTAACTAACCTGCACGTTGTGCACATGTACCCTAGAACTTAAAAAAAAAAAGCCACACTAGTAGCAGACACCTTAGTAGGTGCCAGTCCAGGGAACAGACCAGGGCAGCAGTGTGCAACAGAGACCCTCCCATGCCCCAGAAAGACTCACATATGCCCAGACAGCAAGCAGCAGGAAAAAAAGTGACTGTTGAAATTGGAAGAGACTCAGATTGTTAGCTAACACATTCAAATGGCCCTTTTCCTTAGCCTCCCCCCAATCCCTTAATACTCAAACATATGGGCAAATAAACATGAAATCCATTTGAGGAAACAAATGTTGTATTTTCTTTGCATATCTGAGCATTTATTATGTTTTCGATCCTGCTACCACAGACTAAGATCATATTACTTTTTGGGGGGTAGGAGTAAAGATCACATTGTTGAATTATATTGAGCTTACTGTTAAGAATCCTATCTTTTTAAAATATAAATTTGCAAATAATTATGGGGCTCTCGACTACTGTTTCTACCCAAGCTGCTTTTTCTATATCAGTGATTGGTTCTCAACTTTGAGTGTGCATCAAAACCACTTGGAGGGCTTGTTTAAAACACAAATGTCTAACCCTACCCCCAAAGTTTCTAATTCAGGAGGTCTAAGGTACGGCCAGAGAATCTGCACTTCCTAACAAGTTCCCAGGTGATGCTAATGATTCCATCTGTAGACCACACTTGGAAAACTAGTGCTCTAAGTCCTGCTTTAGTGGACAGACATTATTCTGATTTCATTCTCACAGGCATACAGTTGGCATTAATTCATACAGCACATATAAAGAATTAACCTCCCCCCAAACTTATTAGAACTTGATTTTCCACACATTATCAATAACGGAATACCACTTTCACCCACAGAGAATGAAAAAACTTTAAGCTTGATAAAACCTACTGTCGCAAAGGATATGAGGAAACAGCTACTCTCATACCTTGTTGTTGAGTTTATAAATGGCTACTGTTTCTGGATGGCAATTCTTGGCAGTAACTACCAATATTTTTAACGCATAAATCCTTTAGTACAGGAATTTCTTTCTAGGAACCCCATAAAAATAACTAAGTGACTAAATGACGTTCACAGCAACATTTATGAGTTGTAAATAACCTAAGTTTCTCTTAATGTGAGAAATATTAAAAAGTATTGTCATAAAAGTGAAAAGCATCTTCTGATTATTTCTACAGTTTAACCACTGAATAATTGTCTACAGTATGTTCTGTAGTAGAAGAAAGATATTCTGTAATAGAATCTCATTTGTGGGTGTTCTAGTGTGGTACTCAATTGCTGAAACTTACATGACAAGATGAAAATCCATTAATCGGTTAGCATACTACTTAGCTGCACTTTATCAAATTGACTTTAGTGATTGTGTTCCTTCACTCCTTAGAGATTTCATAAAGCTCTACCAAACTCCTTGACTTGCTCATGTAGGATTAAATGAGAGGGAAATTGGCTTTGAGCCTAAATTCATAATCTTTTACCTTTTCACAATTTCCCCAGTAAATTATATGTTTTTCATGTTCCCACTCATAATTTAAGAAAATTTTTTGACATATTTATACCCACAAGATGATGCAAACATACCTGAGTGAGGTTCCACATACCAATCACCAACTGCTTCAATGAGGACACCTTATATGCTGGTAGTGCATTACCAGTTGGTTCAAGGAATCCCACATAGACTTTTAATGGTCACCCTTAATTTAGTTAGAGCCTCAAGATATTTAATGAAAAGTTAGAACAAACATGGAAAAACGTGGAAAGAAGAGGGTGGAGAATGATCACCTCAGTTAAAAACATGTGGTATAAAAAGAATGTTATTTCTGGAGACAGAAAACATGCACTCTAGTTACAGTACTGCTACTAATTACTAAAGATCTTGTGTGAGTTAATTCATATTTGGAGCTCAGATTTATAATTTGTAAATGAGTTTGAGGAACTAAGCCACAAGGCTCTTTTCCAATGCCACAATTATTACAATTAGACAGTGTTTTACTATCAGGAGCCCATTTTCTGATCATATTTAAAATCTTAGTGCCAAGATAAAAGTGTGCATTAGTACAACCTTCTTAAAAAGCAGTTTGGCAAAAAAAAAAAAAAAAAAAAAATCAAATTTAAATTGTGCACACTTTTTGCCCCAGTAGTTCTTATCTATAAATTTAAAGAAACATGCAAATGGGCAATTATACAATTTTCAAGGATCTCACACCAGTATTTTTGTAGTTGTGAAAAATAAGGCACTGATTATATTTAATCAGTGCCTCATTTGCCATTAAAATGGTAAAAAGTGCAATTACTTTTGCACTGACCTAATAAGTTTATGCAATGCAATACTACGCAACTATTATAGTATGGCTACTGAAAGGCATTCATGATATACTCTTGAATGAAAAAAAATACCACAGAATATTTAGTACCTCAGATCTTTGTGTATAGTATACACACATGTATCTATTTATATAAGTATATATCATATTGGGATGAGTAATACTTAAATGTACAGATATTTAAAGAATATATATTCTCTATTTTTATATCTCTGTATACCGAGAGATTAAAGGTCTGAAAGATGTATGCAACAGTGGTGTTTACCTCCAGGAAGTATAGGCTGTGGGTATAGTATAGGCTGGGATAGGGAGAGAACTATGACCTTTTCTTTAAATTATAAAACTAAACGTCGATTTTAAAAATAAAAGGTTCAAAGTGAAATAAGCTATTTTTTAAAAATGTAAATATCTGAATAATTAAGCACCAGTAATCTCAATAGCCCTTACATAAAAGTTCATTTTCTCACCAACTTGAGATGCTGCCTTTACTGTATTCTAAATGCCATTGAGTCTATTTCTGGAATTCCTCTTCTGTTACATTGAACTTCTTATTTTTAAAGGGCCAATACAAAACTTTTCATTCATTCAACATTAGGAATGCCTTCCAATATCCATACTTTACCAGTTGCGTAGTATTGAGTTACATAAATGTATCATAATCAGTGTCTTTTCACAATTACAAAAATGTGGCTGTGAGATCCTTGAAAATGTATCATTACCTATTTGCATGTTTCTTTATGCTAAATCTCTAGATACAGAGTATCTGGGCCAAAAAGTGTGCACACTTTTAAAAATTCTGATAGCTTCTGCCACGGCAGATATAGAGTATGTTTTAGTGTCGGATATGGCTGGTCCTCTCTAATTCTTTTCAGTTTCCACGGTTTTTCTAGTATGTTCTCTCAAAGGACAATATAATTTTTATTGGAATGGCATTGAATTTATAAATAAACCTAAGTGGGGAAAGACATGTTTTGATGTTGTCTTTCTATCTAAGAATATCATATATCTTTTCATTTGCTGGAATCTACATATTTGCCACTCAAGAGTTTTTTTTTTTAGTTTTCCTCATACAGATTTTAATATGTCTTAAATTTACACATTAAGTTTTCTTTTTACTTTTGCTATCACAAAGGTGGTCTTCTCTTCAAGTATCTTCTAACTAGTTTAGGTTTGCATACATATATATATATATGTATAGTCTTGTTACTCTTTTTAGTAAACATTTTTATTGAGCTATAATTATACATACAGAAAAGTGCACAAATCATATACAGCTTGATAAATATTCATAAGGTGAATGCACCTATGTAACCAGCACCTAGATCATGAAACAGAACATTACCAGCACCACAGAGTCCCCTTGTACCCTCTTTCACTCCTACTGAGTTAAAGCCAGTTGAAAAGTAATGTATACTATATGGTTCCACTCATATAAAATTCAAAAACAGACAAAACTAATTGATGGTGATTTTGATAGTGCTTACCTTTGGGAAGAGAGGTAGTGACTGAAAGGGGGTGCTGATTTCTGACACCACACATAAATGCTGTTTTGAATGAAATGATTCAAAATGGAATCAAAGTATGCACTGGTGAAGCCTACTGATATTTGTATGTAAATTGTATTTAATAGCTACTTTACTAAATTCTTTTATTGTTTAGTTTTTCTTCTGGTGAAGCCTACTGATATTTGTATGTAAATTGTATTTAATAGCTACTTTACTAAGTTCTTTTATTGTTTAGTTTTTCAACAAATTCCTTTGGGCTTTCTAGATACATATTCATATCTGCAAATAGTTTTAACTCTTCCTTTGCAATTCACATCTTTATTTTGTCTAACTTCATTGGCTAAAACTCTCAACACATTAAGTAGTAGAGGAGTTAGTGGGCATGTCTTGTTCCTGACTTCAGTTGGAAAGTCTTTTTTGCTTTGAAATTTAAGATGCTGGCTTTTAGGTAGAGGTACAATGTTAATTGATTATTCATCAATTTCTACTTAGCATATTTAACGTGAGTGCTCAATTCTATCATGTCTTTTCTGCAAAGATGAAGATATTTCTTAACTCTTAATATGATGAATATTAACAGATTATCTAGTATTGAATTACCCTTGCATTCTTATAATAAACCCAACTTAGTCATGATTACCTTTTGAAAGTGCTGTTGGATTGTTTGCTAATGTATCATTAAAAGTCTTTATTAATATTCATGAGATTGCTCTATAATTTTCTTTTTGGTACAATCTTTGTCAGGTTTTTGAATCAATGCTATTACATTCACTTTATAAAATGAATTTAGCAGTTTCTTTTTTTTTTTGGCACTTTGAGGTTCAAGATTCTTTTCCTAGTCTCTGGAATTGTTTAAGCAAGAATGGGATTATTTAATCTTAAAAGGTTTGGTAGAAATCCCCTTGAAACAATCTGGGCTTGATGCTTCCTTTGGTAAGGGGTACTTTTAACTATTTGTTTCTTCTATGGCAACTGGTTTGTTGTGACCTAAATTTTGGCAATTTGCATTTTTCTCAAAAGTTTTCGAATTTATTGTGTAAAACTGCTCAAAGTAGTCAATTTAAACAAATTTCCTCTTTTACTATTTCCCCCTTGTCATTTAAATTTTTGTATTTGTGCTTCCTCCTTTTTTTCTTAAATAGATTAGCTGGTAGTTTATCGCACTCAACTCCCCGCACTATCCATCACCAACTTGGATTTATTGCCTTTATTGTTTTGGTTTGCTACTAGTAATTATTTCTTGTTTTTATTGTTACTAATTCCTTCCTTCTGCTTTATTTTGCTTTTTACTCCAAGTGTTTGGTACTTGGTTAATTTTCACCTTTTCCTTTTACTGATAATTGCATTAATTACTATAAATTTCCTGACATATTTGCATTTTATTTTTTGGCAAATATTAGGTTTTTATCTGTCTTGCGTCATGTCTTTCTGGTGTGCTTTCATTGTCTGTGAGGATGTTGATCTATTTATTATTTCTCATACTAACTTTGAATGGGGTTGGACTGTAATCCTGGCTCACTCACTCTTTTTTTCCCCTTAACTGAAACGAGTTTTTCTGTACTTTTAGGTGGGAGGAGTGCTCTAGGATGACTTCACAGCCTTAGAGCTCCCATTTTCACAGTGATTTAAAAGAATATATATATGTGTATATATATATGAAAATACATATATATAATGTCTCTGTATCTTGGCCTTTCTACCCAATACTTATCTAGATATTTCTTTTGTCCTATTTTACCCATCCTGCCCATTTGAATTCTAATTCTAGAAGTTTGTCCTCAGTGCTGGGCTTTGTCTCATAAGCTTCAAGACATACACAGCAAAAAAACCCAGACTGCTCTAATGCAGTCATCAGACCTTATTATATTGCTTTAACATTCATCTGCAAATGGGATTCGGTAGTCACTTCCCAGTTTCAGTGTCTGTTCTTAGATTGGCCCACTGCACTTTGTAGTGAGAAACTGTGGGCAGTGTTGTAGTTCTCCAATTTGCAGAGCTGTCAGAAACCAGCTGCCTTCCTTCTACTTCCTCCCACAGATACTGAAACTATGTGGGTCAGTGGTTTGTCCTCGCTTAGTTGTATTTTGAAGTTCATAGAGCTACCTTGTCATCTAGTGTTGTAATAGTGTCTATAGTGTCCTAGTTGCTCTGTATTTTTATGGGGAGATTAGAAAACAACACTGTTATCATCATTTTCCCTGAGGTTAAACTGTTAAGACCTCTTTCTGTTGTAGGAGAGGTTTTAATTACAAAAATAATTTTATGATCATTATAAAGAACCTATAATTTGAAATTTGCTATATTCCAGGTACTATCCTAAGTGCTTTATCTGCATTATCTCATTTAATCCTAAACCCTGTGAGTTCGGTTTTACCTATTTTCCTTATTTTATCAATGGGAGAGTTAGGGTCCAAGATCATGCCACTGAACTGGCAAATCTGGGATTTAAACCCAGGTCATCTGATTCCAGAGCACCTCCTCATTAACTGTCTCTCAAAAATGATCAGGTCCAACAGTTTTCAAATTACATACCACCGTCAGCAAGATTTCTATATGAATTTAGATTAAATACAAATAACTATTTAAAGATCTAATAACACATATATATTATAGATCAAATCTAAAAACACGGAAATGATAAACAGGTTAAATTATGCCATATGATCTGACTAATCTTATTTGTATGCAGATGCTCAAAACAAAGCTCCTCCTCCTACCTTCTAAAAAAAAAATACCACAAAATTAGGGGGCAGGAAGGAGACAATTAGGGAGTAGGAAAATAGAGTTTTTTGAGATTTCAGACTTCATATTTCCCCTCATTATATCACTCCTGTTAAGGAATAAAGTATATATGTGAAATATTGCTTATAATTTATTTAATCGATAAATACTTTTTTTGTAAATAACTATTTAGAAAAGTCAGAAATAGTTTCTCCACAATTCACACTGGCCTGCTATTTTCTGGCCAATTAAGTTGCTATGGAATGTGAACATTTACTAGTCCATAAAGTTTCACAAGAAAGTCTCCCACAGGTATATCAATTAGAAGCATACTAAAATTTATCATCTTATGGTATTAAATTTTAAGGAGTTAGAAAATATTTAGCCTTATGAAATACTTTTAGATTGGAATTTTCCTGTAACTTACATTTATGAATACAGTCATACAGTTACTACCTTTATTACCTCCTAACCTTTCTTGGTGATACAGAAAAAACAATTTGGGCTTTTTATATAGTACTAAAGCCATTATATATATGCTACTTCAACTTCCAATGTCTAAGAGATGACTTAGTTTGAGATATGGATGTCTTAATCTGCCAGGATTTCAATAGTAGCAATTGGAATAACCCATAGAAGGATAACATCTGTTAGTAAGCTTAGTTTTCCCCCCCACCATCAGAAGATTTTTTTATTTCTAATTAAAAAACATACAGTTGGCAAACTCAGGTTTAAAACTAAGCATGCCAATAATAAATGAATCATTTCTCCAAGTACATACTGTTTCCCTTGGGAAGGACTGTTATTTTACAACATTTTTTTCTCTAATTTAGAAAAAAAGATAACATTTAAAATATTACAATGCCTAAACAGTGATACCAGTAATATAGTTTTTATACTGATGTTTATATTTCAACATTTATTATCACCAAGACTAACTTAACCCAACTCCTTTAGTGAAGAGATTTCTTTCCCCATTTCAGTACTAGACTCATAGTTCTGAATGTCACTAAGCAAGTAATGGATATGAGTTATTGATTAATTAATTACTAATGAAGAGTTTTTATATTATCTCCTTTATAATTAGCTAGTTCATAAACTTAAGAAAACAAAACAATGAACAAAAACAAAACCCTATTTCTTATCCTCTAAATAGTTACATTTGCCTTTCACTTACCTGAAAATATGAGAATAAAAATGACCATGTATAGAGTTGCACCACTGAATCTATTTGAATGGTTCTGTTTTTGTATTTTTCACTTATTTAGTTTGAAAAAAATTAGAAAAGCATTAGTTTGAAATTAGAGCAGCTAACACACTGGGGGCAACGAATTAAAAAATTCAAAAGGCTAAAAATAAAAACACAAAGTATCTTTCCTTCTAGATAAAAAAGATTGTTTTCTTCCTAGAAAGCAAGAAAAGAAAAAAAAAAAAAAGGCAACTAATGATTTGAGAATAAAATCAAACATAACTGGTATTCACCACAGCAATGTCTAAATAAATGACCCACATAGCACAAAACTTTCTCATTCACAATCACATATAGTTAAGTTGCTTTTCCCTCAGTTACATAATAGTTGTCTTCAAATAATCTCCTTTTAGAAAACTATCATATTAGTTAAACCTATTTATTCTTACTGTGAAGTTATTAATTTCATTTATATAGGCCACAAAGGTTTAATTGGCACACTTTACTTAAGAATAAGACAAAATAAGTCACTCTTTTTTAAAAAAAATTATGGTAATCTGTTTTCAAAGAATAATCCCAGATACTTAATTCATTAAAGCAAATTTTCCACCATCAGCAGTGAGCTTTTTAAATGATCACTAAGTGTTCACCTGAAGATTATCAATGCTATATGAAGTGCAAACTTGTTTTGAAAATTCATGTCAATTTTATAAGATACAATTTGCACTGAAGAGTTTTTAAAAAGATAACCTACACACATACAGTTAATTTGCCTCAAACAACTTCTTAGAAATACAGTATAAACATTTAAGAACCACGACAAAGTTGTGGTTCAAACTTCAACAAAGATTTTCTCGAAACCCAATACAAAGATTACTGGCTCAAGACCATATCCCAAAGTGACATCAGCAGGAGATTTGATTGTAAGACTCTACCTTTTAAAAAAAGAGCACACTTGGTTATACATGGCTTTTAAACTTGAGCTACAGTTATGCTACAAATCCCCCCATCCTCCCAATCTAAAGTCAGTCATGTGGAGATATGTACATTCTCTGAGCATTGTTTAGAGTCCTTGGTTTTCCAGCTTTGATGGAGATCTAGAAGGCGTTCAGAAGTCCGTGTGCTTACATTCAGAGCAGGATGAACTTTACAAATTCCACTTTCCTCCATTAGTGACAGGCCACAGATCCCAAAGTATGCATGCAAAGCATCTGAAAAGAAGGCATTTAAAACATCATAACAGGCATTCCTACTTGTACATTCTACAAAATATTTCAGCTACATATTTACCGGCCCATCACTCCATTAAAAGTTTAGAGAAATGCTAATATAGTTTTTAAAATATTTGCTTTCTCAAAGTCTCAAACATCAATTTAAAAAAAACCCAGATGATCAAAATAAAATATTTTATTCATGAAAATATCATTAACAAAGGAAAACATTTTCCAACTGAAGAGCTGATACTATCCATAACCTCTGTGATGAAAAGACAGGAGGAGCAGCAGTCATATGTAAGACTTCTCACTTGAGGGAGTTTCCCTTTTTGCTTACTACAGAACATGGAAATGAGTAGCTTCAATGCTGTATCATTAAATTTTTTTTCTTTAAAATGAAAACAAAACTCTGAATCTAAGTTGCAATACCCCTTGCTCCATGTTTTGCCTCTGAAAGTTCCTAAACCATAGGCAGGACTATCCTAACACTGTGTTAAATAAAAGGAGCTTACGCAAAAATAATCCATTCTGGAATGCTGTGCCATATTTAATCCTCCTATTTAGGGTAATGTCAGTCATTGTAAAAATATCTGATCTGACAATAAAAACAAACTCACATTCTATTTGGTTGAAATAACATGAGTGCTCATACCATGACAATTCTGCACTGGCTCACTAGTTTCCCATCTTTCAGGGGGCAGTAATCCTCTTCTATTAAAGTGGCCAATGAAATCACATGGTCATTCTTGCCTAGGAGTCTTATGTAGACTTCTGAAGAGCTCAGAGCTTTGCAGTTATAGGAACACTACAAAGACAGTTTTGTACCAGTCAAAAATTTTTTTCTGCTTTTGAATTGGCCAACATTAAGAGCTATTAAAGTTCAAAACAGGCTGGGTGTGGTGGCTCACACCTGTAATCCCAGTACTTTGGAGGCTGAGGACGGTATATTGCTTGAGCCACACGAGTTTGATACCAGCCTGGGCAATATGGTGAAGCACCATCTCTACAAAAAATACAAAAATTATTCAGGTATGGTGGTGTATGCCTGTAGTTCCGGCTACTCCGGAGGCTGAGATGGGAGGCTCACCTGAGCCTAGGGAGGCTGAGGCTGCAGTGAGGCATGATTATATCACTGCACTCCAGCCTGGGCAAAACAATGAGACCCTGTCTCAAAACAACAAAAGTTCAAAACATCTTACCACATCAAATTTTGTCAAAAGGGTTAAAGGAAAAGCTTTACTTACAAGAGTATCACTTATTTTTTCAAAACAGAAACGACAAATAGTTGTGCTTACTCAATGCCATTGTGAAAACGTTATTTCACTAATAGAGGCCCATGTTGATCAACTTTTAGGCCTTTTCAGAAAATACTTAGGTTTCTTCTGGCTCACTTTCCTTTGACTTTCAGACTATAAAAAATAAATTTGATTTCGCCTGTAATATTACATCATTCCATATAATTATTCTAAAACTACAAAGGGTACAAAGCAACATTAAGCTGTTTTCTAGAAACCAGGAACATTTTCTAGGAAAAATTACAACAGAAAATATACATCCATAATAACATAAAATAGAACTGTGTAATACTAAAATCTCTCTGGGTAAAGTAACAAATAAAACTTATTTTTTTCTCAAAAAGATTTTTGTAACAGCCAATGAGATCAGAACTCAATTGTTTCAAGCCTCAAATTGCTTTTTTTAAAAAACTCCTTATCTGTAGGTGGCAATGTATAAGCACTTTACATGTGGAAATATGTTTACTCCATAATAAAGCACTTTAGATGCTGAAATATATATACATTCCATAACAAAAGCTCATTCTTTAGAAATTTCTTTCATAAATGTATATAAAATCCCTTTGTGTCAAATTTGCTACTAAATTTACTAGAACCAAGAATAAGCTTAAAGAATCTCGTTAAAATGACTGTAAAGGTTCTGGGACCAGATCTTTACACATAAATTCAATTTAGCAAAGACTTTCTATGCTTTCTAGTGCATACTCTGAAAACATTGTAATGTATCTGTAAAAAGTAAGTAGTACATCCAAATATTTACACAAATGTTAAAGTTAGCAACTGATCTCTCTGGAAAAAGCCTCAAGAACTTTCTTTTTAAAAAGCTATTGCAAACACTGAATGTATTTCAAGTATGTTTACATAAGAAATGTTTTCTAAGAGATTGTCATTTCCCTATTTCCATTATTTGTTAAAACAGTACCCGCACTGATTGAAAAAATGGAATAAAGTCCAAAATAATTCTCAGTTTTCTTGAGGCACTAGAGATACAAAAAATTTCAAAATATTATTTTTCTTGAGAAATTAACTTCTGAAAACACACTTTGGCTTACAACTTTGAAAGCAATGTACACTTTCTCTAAGAAGGCATGTTTTACTACGGATTGATTGATTGAGATAGTCTCGCTCTGTCGCCCAAGCTGGAGTGCTATGGCACGACCTTGGCTCACTGCAACCTCTGCCTCCTGGGTTCAAGCAATTCTCCTGCCTCAGCCTCCTGAGTAGGTGAGACTACAGGTGCGCACCACGATGCCCGGCTAATTTTTTGTATTTTTAGTAGAGACGGGGTCTCGCCATGTTGGCCAGGCTGGTCTCAAATTCCTGACCTCAAGTGATTCACCTGCATCAGCCTCCCAAAGTGCTAGGATTACAGGCTTGAGCCACCACACCTGGGGTCTTTTATTTTATTTTACTTCATTTTATTTCTTGAGATGTACTCTTGCTCTGTTGCCCAGGCTAGAGTGCAGGGGCATGATCTTGGCTCACTGCAACCTCTGCCTCCCAGGTTCAGGCAATTCTTTTGCCCCAGCCTCCCAAGTAGCTGGGATTACAGGCACTCACCACCAGGCCTGGCTAATTATTGTATTTTTAGTAGAGGCAGTGTTTCATCACCAAGTGGCCAGGCTAGTCTCAAACTCCTGACCTCAAGTGATCCGCCCACCTTAGCCTCCCAAAGTGTTGGGATTACAGGAGTAAGCTAATGCACCTGGCCCACCTTGGCCTCCCAAAGTGTTGGGATTACAGGAGTAAGCCAATGCACCTGGCCTAGGAAGCATGTTTTATATGAAAATACAGGCAAGTAGGGGTGTAAGGAAATATTCCTGCTCATTTCAAATACAAAAATATGATTTCAAGAGCTCCTTATTTATATTCTGATTCAAGTACACATTCCAACTATAGCAGTTCTGTGATGGAAGATGAACGCTGATACGGCACTTTCTAGGCCGATAATAAAAACCACGACTCTATTGCAATACTGGCAAAAACAATCATTCCTTGTGTCTAGTTTCATATTTGTAACTAATTCTTTACTTGCTTATCAAAAGTGTCAGTGTTTGAAATTATTTTAACACACTCTTAAATGGATTTTTATAGGGAAGCTGTATATACAGTTATTTTGCTGGAGGTGAAAACGTAAGTCGGGTGAGGTGTAGGCTACAAAATGATGGTAGAGGTGGGAGAGGAGCCAAATTTTGGGAGGGCCTTGAGTGCCATACCATTTATATTGTCTGAATCTGTTGAAATTTGGAGAACAAGAGTATGGGAAGTGAGAAACACATATTCAGGATTTGAAATATTTTATTTAATGATTTTTTTTTTTTTTTGAGACAGAGTGTCACTCTGTCACATAGGCTGGCAGGCAGTAGTGCAATCTCGGTTCACTGGAACCTCTGCTTCCTGGGTTTAAGTGACTCTCCTGCCTCAGACTTCCACATAGCTGGGACTACAGGCACGCATCATCACACCTGGTAATTTTTGTATTTGTAGTAGAGTCAGGTTTCAACATGTTGAACAGGCTGGTCTTGAACTCCTGACCTCAAGTGATCTACCTGCCTCAACCTCCCAAAGTGTTGGAGTTACAGGCATGAGCCACTGCGCTCGGTCTATTTAATGACTTCTGAAAAGAGTAAGAACTGATTTCCTTCAGGATCGGGAGTAATTTACTATCCTTAGCTCAAGTCATGACTAATAATCCTAATGGTTTTGGATGGGCTAAATAATTCTCTTCTTTGGAAAGGACCCATTCAGACCATCTATGTTATTGATGAAAATGAAATAAAACATTACTAAGTAAAATATTTGGGAAAAAATGCACACTATACCCATGCATCTTGATGATAAACTCTTTCCTTTATACTCCCCAATACCCTAAATCTATCCTAAGCTTACACAATATACCTTTTTAAAAATAATATTTAATGTAACTTTGCAACTGTGCCTTTTTCTATCATATGCCTTTTCTGATAAAGATGCTTGAAGATCTATTCAGGAAATAAAGGTTGTTCTGGATTCACAAAGAAAATAATTACCTGGATGACTGTCTGGCCACTTGGCAAATCCCCCTACAAGGCGATCTTGAGTTGATAAGATGTAATTTCTATTTTTCTCAAAGTTAGTGTATTGGAAAATTTTTAGAAGCTGAAATGACATGACAAAACTCATATCAACCTTTGGCTCAAATTTCAGATGTTTGTCATTTAGATATGCTTTTCTTTAGCTAAGGTGCTCAGACCAACTCTACGGGGCCTTGAGCACTTGAAATGAGTCAATCACATTATCTTTTTTATTTTCTTATCAAATCTACTCTCCTTTTCTTGACCCTCTATTTCCTTCTTCTGAATCAGGCCAACTGTACCCTTTGAAGCACATTAAGCTAAATTCAAAAGACAACTCCAATCCACTCAACATAATCAGTCATTTTAAAAAGTAAATTTTATCTATCCATATTTTAACTCTTATGATAAGCTCTTTAGCTATTAGTTATAAATTAGTAGTAACTGGAACTAAAAATATTTTTTAAAAAAAGAGCAAACAAAAATTGCTAACCAGATGCTAGAGACAGTTTTGAAAATAGTAAAGAAGTATAGCTCTTTAATTAGGAAAGAAAAAGGTAAGACAAAAATGATTGCAACATAAAAAACTATATAGTTTTTAATGATTTAGGACATGTACTTGGTTTTTCTCTCAAGATCCCATAAAAGTAAGATATAAATAAGTAAATAACACTGTGAAGTTCAAGATGAGGTGTGCAGTAGGTAAGAGGGATCAAGAAATTTCTGAAGATACAAAACAATTTAATATATGTCAACGAACCAGAGAGCCACAGCTTTTAGTGACTGATGAAGAAGCATTATTTCTCAAAAAGAAAAGCTAAACTCATAAGAAAGTTATGGTACAAACAAGAAACAAATTTATTCATTTACATTGATTTAATTAATAGACTATAAGGAAAAAGGCTTTTTTGAATCTTGATGTTAGGAACATTTTCCATCAGTGGCACATTGGTCATTAAATAAAAATGAGAAAAGGATAATATTAACACTGCACTTGGCTTAGCAATAAACAATATTTGCACTATCCTAATAAGTGTTGGTTACTGGTTTTCAAATTTTAGAATCAACCTATAGGCAAAGCCTGAAAGATGTGATTATTAATACTGAACAAAAATATGAATGCTTCCTAACTTGACATTATAAAAATAAAGGTTACCTTATATAGCATTGGAAGGTAGAAGATGAGGAAAAGACTCAGAACTAAACATAACGGGTAACAATTTGTTGGAAAAGTGAGAGGCTAAATCTTAATTTCTCTTAGTTGGGAATCATCAATAATATCTAAAGGTGATAAGAAGTTAGTCTGTGATTTAAAGTTACAGAAATGTCCACAAGAATTAAAACATTTTTAAAAAGTTTAAAAGTGGTTGCTTTCAGAAAGCTGTCAAAGACTACTGACGTCAAATAAAAAAGACTTGGGACAACTTGAAAGGGTTCCTATCGACTAAAGATGGGACAATTTAAGCATTATATATATATATATATTTTAGTCATATATGACTAATATATATCATATGTATTATATATGACTAAAAAATGTTAAAATCTATGTATTCACAATGATTCTAAAAAAAAAACAAAACAAAACAGAAACAAACCAAAAAACCCCAAACTCTAAAATCTAATATTTCATTGGAAAGGCTGAGGGGATGGTAGGGAACCAATTCATTTTGTTGAACACTATTAAAGGAAAGAATTCGGTATTTATCTGTCCTTCTCTGTACAAAGTATATCTCAGGGGAAGGTCAAATAATTCTTCTTTAAAAAACAATGCTAGTTAATAAATTGAGATGGAATGAAAGAATACCACTGTTTTATAACCTCTTAATGCCACAACTGATTTAAGCAATGATCCTTAATGCTTGTCAAAACTATTCTATAAAAAGTTGATAGTTTCTATAGACTAGCAATGAACAATCCAAAAGGAAATTAAGAAAGCAATTTCATTTACAACAGCATCTAAAATGAGTCAATACTGAGAATTAAATCTTAATAAAAAAGTGAAAGATTTGTATGTTGAAAACTACAAAACATTGCTGAAAGAAACTGAAGACCTCCTGTATAAATGGAAAAGCATCCTGTGCTCATGGATAGGAACACTCAACAGTGTCAAGATATCACTACTACCCAAAGTGATCTACAGATTCAATGCAATTTCCATCAAAATTTCAAAAGACTTTTTTTGCAGGAATGGTAAACTCAATTACCAGATTTATATCAAATTGCAAGGGGCTCCAAATAGTCAAAACAATCTTGAAAAAGAAAAGTTGGAAGTTTCAAACTTCTTGACTTTGAAACTTACTACAAAGCCACAGTAATAAAAACAGTATAGTACTGGCACAAAGACAGCCATACAGAACAACGGAATAAAATAGGAAGTCCAGAAACAAACCTCACATATATAGTCAACTGACTTTTGACAAGGGTGCCAAAACCATTTAATGGAAAAGGGCAGTCTTTTCAACAAATGGTGCTAGGAAAATTAGATATCCACGTGTCAAAGAATGAGGTTGGATCTTACCTTACATCACATACAATAATTAACTCAAAATTGATGAAAGGCCCAACATTAAGGCCTAAAACCGTAAAACTATTAGAAGAAAACACTGGGGAAAATCTTTATGACAGTGGATTTAGCAATAGTTTTACGGACATGACACCAACAACACAAGCAATAAAAGAAAAATTTAGATAAAATTGGACTGCATCAAAAAACTTTTGTACATTAAAGGACACCATCAACAGAGTAAAAAGGCAACTCAAGGAATGAGAAAACATTTGTAAATCATATATCTGAGAAGGGATTAATATCCAGAATATATGAAGAACACCCACAACCTTATAACAACAAAAGAAACCAGATTTAAAAATAGGCAAAGGGCTTGAATAGAAATTTCTCCCAAGAGATATACAAATGACCAATAAGTACATAAAAAGACACTCATTATCATTAGAAAAACGCAAATCAAAACCACAATCAAACGACACTTCATATAAAAAATGGCTATTTTATATATAAAACAAACAGAAAAAACAAATGTTGGTGAGGATGTAGAGAAATTGGGACTCTCATACATTGCTAGAGGGAACATAAAATGTTGTAGATGCTGTGGAAAAGTCTGGCATTTCCTGAAAAAGTTAAATGAAGAACTACCATATGACCCAGCAATTCCACTTCTATATACATATAATACCCCTCAAAAATGAAAGCAGGGATTTGAAAATATATTTATACACCCATGTTTTTAGCAGTATTATCTGCAATGGCCAAAAGGTGAAAACAACTCAAGTGATCATCAACAGATAAATGAAGAAGGAAAATGTGGTATTTATATACAATGGAATATTATTATTCAGCCATTAAAAAAATGAAATTTTGACATATGCCATGTCATAAATAAATCCTGAAACCATTATGCTAAGTGAAATAAGCCAGAAAACAGAAGGACAAATATTGTATGATTTCACCTATATGAGGTACCTAGAATACACAAATTCATAGTGACAGAGAGTAGAGTAGAGGTTACCAGGCTGAGGGGAAAGAAGAATAGGGAATTATTGTTTAATGTGTACAGGATTTATGCTGGGTAAAATGAGAAAGTTTTGCATGGTAGTGACGATTACACAACATTGTAAATTGAATTAATACTAGTGAATTGCAAACTTACAAATGTTTAAAGTGATAAGTATAATGTGCTATGTATATTTTCAACTCTGGAGTTCTTTAATTAAAAGGAGAGATAATTGGATATTACGTGCCTCTTGGTGTGATACAATAGGAAATATATGTGATACAACAGGAAATCACTGGATATTTAATGATAATAAGCAATTATGGCTAATTGTTTAGATGTGATGACACTAGGGTTCTGTTTTTTTTTTTTTAAGTTATTTTCATTTAGAGATTACATTAAAAATTTTCCAAAGAATATAAAAAATGCTATCTGGGATCTGCTTTAAAATAATTCAGTGAATGGAAGGGAATTAGTTAGAGTATAGATAAAGAAAGGGTAGCTTTGGGTTGATAATTGTTGAGATGGTTGATGGACACATGGGTGTTCATTACACCATTCTCCCTGCTTTTGAATATGCTTGAAATTTCCCATAGTCAAAAAAAAAACTGAAATGATGAACCTGAGAAATAGTACTCCAAGTGAGGAGAGACAGGGAGACTACTGTCATCATTTTAAATCATTCTTTTCCCAATGTTTTTCAACCTTATACATAAATTTTAAGAGAAAAATTTAGGATATTACAGAGAAGACAAACATGGACTCCTCTAACAGACTCCTGTTAGATTGCAGAATATCAGAACAAGGTGACAATTCTTAAAGATAAAAAGGCAACTTTAAAATAGAGAAAACTTGTGTGTATTTAGTGACTAAGTAACCTTACAGAATTAGGTATATTAAAAGGTAATAGAGATGGGAAAAAATGTGCTGGCATGTCAATTGATGAGTTTCAGAAGGTTTAAACAAATAAATAATAAAAAAGTCCCTACATGGTTTTTGAAGAAATGACCCATGGTTTGTCTTTTAAGATTAACACCTTCCCATAAAACCTTTACTGGTATCATTTTCAGACAGATCCCTGATTTACATGAACTAGTCAGTTCCAGTTACAAGTTTTTTATTACCTTACATCTACAAGAAAGTAAGTATTTAATATGTTCTATATAAGGTTTAAGTAGGCATAAAACTCAAGTTCTGAGTTACCTGAGTTTTCTAAGAATGAAAATTTCCAAGCAGCACAAGAGATCATTGAATTCTATGGAAAAACCATAGAAAGACTAGCTTTGGCAGAGCCAAAGAGAAAATCCAGTACCCTAAACCTAACAATATTTAATACACATTACAAAGACCAAAACTTTTTAGCACAATTTATATGAACACAGAATATAGGTTTCTCATTTTTTATTATTTCTCTTACCTTTAGAGTTGCTCCCACCCAAAAAGAATAACAGGTGTCTACAGGCTTATTGGGTCTTCCATGATAACCATTTTGTTGCCTCATTATACACCACCTCTTTATTCTGTTCAACTCTTTTTCTGAAAAAACTTCTTCTAGTTTACCCATCAGACATAGTGAGGCAATGCCACAAAAAGTAGATCCTCCTGTTAATCAAAACCACACAATGTTTTAAACTTCAAATTAGATGCTTATGAAAATAGTACAGAATGTTCGAGGGGAAAAAGTGGTTATATAATTCTAGAAAATAGTGAATAAAATTTAAATTTAAAAGATGAGATTTTAAAATAACCACTATACACAAGTCTTCAATATTTGATAAAACAGAGAATAACATAAAGCTATAAGAAACATTTTACTTACGAAAAAAAGTAGTAAGACTTGGAACAAGACTAAGGGACTTGTTTAAAATTACACAGTTAACGGCAGACTTGGAACTAAAATCTGGGACTACTAACTCCCTGTCCAGAACCCAATCACCTGAAACTGATTTTTAAGTCCCTTAAAGACAGTATATTGCTGATGAATTGAGGTTCCATCACCCCTAAGCTATAGACAAGTTTTCACACATAACATAAACAAGTTAGAAGCTGATATACAGATATTACAACTAGTCAGCTTAAGAATTTTAAGGAAGTAGTTTACAGTCCCACCAACAGTGTAAAAGTGTTCCTATTTACTAGTTCAACCACTGTGGAAGACAGTGTGGTGATTTCTCAAGGATCTAGAATTAGAAATACCATTTGACCCAGCCATCCCATTACTGGGCATATACCCAAAGGATTATAAATCATGCTGCTATAAAGACACATGCACACGTATGTTTATTGCAGCACTATTCACAATGGCAAAGACTTGGAACCAACCCAAATGTCCATCAATGATAGACTGGATTAAGAAAATGTGACACATATACACCATGGAATACTATGCAGCCGCAAGAAAGGATGAGTTCACGTCCTTTGTAGGGACATGGATGAAGCTGGAAACCATCATTCTCAGCAAACTATTGCAAGGACAGAAAACCAAACACCGCATGTTCTCACTCATAGGTGGAAACTGAACAATGAGAGCACTTGGACACAGGGTGGGGAACATTACACACCGGGTCCTGTCGTGGGGTGGGGGGCTGGGGGAGGGATAGCATTAGGAGAAATACCTAATGTAAATGAGGAGGTAATGGGTGCAGCACACCAACATGGCACATGTATACATATGTAACAAACCTGCACGTTGTGCACAAGAACCCTAGAACTTATATTTAAAAAAAAAAAAAAAAAAAATTTTAAGGAAGAAAAGAATGGTGGGGGATGGGGGTGGTAGGAAAGAGAGAAACCAAATATGAAAGCAGATGCACAGCATTACTTCAAAACGTATTCATACCCACTGCGTAGGCTGAATAATGCCTCCCCAATATTTAAGTCCTAATCCCTGGAACCTGTGAATGTTACTTTATATGGAGAAAGAGGCTTTGCAAATGTGATTAAGTTAAATGATCTTGAAATGGGGAGATTATTCGGTATTATCTGGGTGGGCCCTAACTGTACTCACAAGAGTCATTACAAGAGGAGAGAAGGAGATTAGACTAACAGAGAGGTGGCAGTGGGTACCACTGCCAGGTGGCAATGCAACTATGGTGCCAGCGATTTGAGTGTTGTAGCCAAAGGCAAGGAATGCCAGCAGCCACTAGAAGCTGGGAAGAATCAAAGGACAGATTCTTCCCTGGAGCCACTGCTGGCGAAAGAAGCCAGCCCTGTTGACATCTTGATTTGAGCCCTGTAATTCTTGGCTCAGGCTTAGTCACAGATGTATAGCTCTGGCCAGAAGTGGAGAGAATAAATTTGGGTTGCTTTATGCCCCTATATTTGTGCCAAAATGTTACAGCAGCGATAGAAAACTAATTAATACACTCACAAAGGTACTTTCCTCAGGAAACGAAAAGTCAGTATTTTTCCATATAAGAAAAGAAACAACACTTTTTACTGGCACTATTTGTTGTCAACTCCAAACAATTTGAATACACTTATACTTGACTTCACCTAGTGATTTTTAATAATTTTAGCAATTTAAATGTCTTGTTCCTAATATATCTCATGCCTTAACTATCCTTTTGGTGTTACAAATCTTGAATGTATTCTCTGGCAAAGGAAAGGTGAGCATTCCCTCTAGAAAACTCAAGGTAGCTATCATATTAGAAGTGTTACTGTCAGCTAGGAACTATTTAATCTTCAGAATTAGCTGGGACATCTATGTTACTCTTGAGTGAATCAAAAGAAAAGCTAAAAAAAATTTATTGCAACCTTTTAAAATAATTTCTATTAAGCAACTATTAATCTTATTTCCTTTCCAAATGACTCATTAGTTTCAATTTTTCTTTCATAACCAAGTCATGACCTCAAGTGTTATTACATCATTAAATATAAAGTCTCTAATAGACAGTAAGTAACCTTTAAAACTCCCGAAAAGTAAAAAGAGGCAATTAAGAATTACTCTCCAAACTACCTATTAGGACTACTTAATGCAAGCTGGCACAACTCAAAGAAAAAACACTCTTTACTTTGTCCAAACTAATGGATTTTGAAAATAGTAACTACAGAAGTTTGGACACTGGGTTGCCAGAAACATTTACAAAGTCTCAGATTAAACTAACATTCATTTACCAACAGGTAAGGCTGTTGCTCCTAAAGTCTCTTGTTTTACACAAATCTCTAAAAAATTAGTTATAAAACCCCGTATAAAAACTAGTATGTTAGGCTGGGCATGGTGGCTCATGCCTGTAATCCCACCACTTTGGGAGGCCAAAGTGAGAGAACTGCTTGAGCTCAGGAGTTCGAGACCAGCCTGGGCAATATAAGGAGACCCCGTCGGTACAAAAAAATATTTAAAAAATTGGCCAGGCGTGGTGGTGTTCACCTGTGGTCCTAGCAACTTGGAAGATGGCAGTAGGAGGATCGCTTGACTGCACCCCAGCCTGGGCGACAGAGTGAGACCTTGTCTCAAAAAAAAAAAAATAGTAGTATGTTAGAAGAGTATTAAAGGCAGACATAGAATCAAGAAGAAAAGAGAAGTGAATCTTGGTAATAAGTAGATTACAAAATACTATTTAAAAACAGGCACAAGAACTAAAATGGAGTATCTTTTTGGGGCTAGATGTCATTAGATCAATGATCTGTACACACTTCAAAATACTTCAAGCATATTATATCATATATTAAAAGTACAATACTAGAATTGTTCTTTATTATAATGATTTGAGTTCATCAAGAAAAGGTGAAACTGTGTTCATTAGGCCTTAGTTGAAGACACAGTATGAACAAAACTTTAAGGATAATAGTAAGAATATTGAGGCAAATACAAATAAAAGAATAAGAAAGATTTTCATCTGAAATGGTTAAAAGTTTGCCACCTACGTGATGTGCTTCAGTTACATGGAGAATTAGCATATGCAGAATACCTCAGTCATAAAACATCACAGATGGAAGGGACCATAGAGACTCTCTCTTAACCTACCCCAATTCTACCAAGTGCAGGGTAAAGGAGGTGTTCCTGACTTCAGCTCTGTACAATGTCATGATCTACTTATATTTTAACAGTGTTTAACAGTTGTAACTTATTTTGCTCCCACAGGTTTTCCAGTTCAGTTTTAGATACTCTCTTAGTACTTGTATATACTAAGTTATCAGAAAAGAATCCATGTCCTCTGAAACTTAAGGTAGTCAACAATCATATAGCTAAAGTAGAAAACTAAATAAATAGGCACATAAATAAGCACATCATTTTACAATTAAACACCATATTAAAAAGGTGAAGTAATTTTTTTTTTTTTTTTTTGAGACAGGCTGGAGTGCAGTGGCATGATCTCAGCTCACTGCAACTTCCGCCTCCTGGGTTCAAGCGATTCTTGTGCCTCTGCCTCCCGAGTAGCTAGGATTACACGTGTGTGCCACCACGTTTGGCTAATTTTTTTTGTATTTTTAGCAGAGATGGGGTTTCACCATGCTGGCCAGGCTGGTCCTGAACTCCTGATCTCAAGTGATCCACATACATCGGCCTCCCAAAGTGCTGGGATTACAGGCAGAGCCACCGTGCCTGGCCAAGTGATATAAATTCAAGGGTGTTGAATATTTAGATTTAACATTTATCTTTATATAATTAAGAAGTAGAGATATTTTAAAAGAATCATGGAACCAAATTAATTTATCTGAACTTCTGCATTATGAATCCTCAGTTGGCGGGGGTAGGCGGGGCAGCGAGAATAGTTTTATCTCTAACAAAGCAGGAAAATTCAATTCTTCCAAAACAAAAGGAACATTTTACCCTAAAACTGTACAAGACGAGCATCCCTAATCCAGCATTCTGAAATCTGAAATGCTCCCAAATCTGAAACTTTTTGAGCACCTGCATGACATTCAAAGGAAATGTTCACTGGAACATTTCAAATTTCTGATTTCTAGATTAGGGAAGCTTAATTGGTAAGCATAATGCAAATATTCCATAATCCAAAACACTACTGGACTCAAGTATTTTGGATAAGGGATACTCAATATGTACTATCTTAAGGGAATCATGGGGATAAAGAGAATCACTACATTTGATGATCATGGCCTAAAAGGATAAAAAAAATCTGTTTAGTTTTCATGAAAAATGGGCTCCAAGCTAAGCAACAGTTGGAGAACAGTAGTTGAATTAAAAAATACATATATATAAAAAATAATATTTAAATTGGGGAATGAGAAAGGCACATGAAGAAACTAAATTAATAACAAACTGTAACAGAAATACACCTTCCAAATTCAACTTTCCAAGCAAGAGATGCAAAGTGGAATACAGGATAACTAATTCATCAAATAGTACAGTGTACAAGGGCATATGGAATAAGACATGAATGACCAGCTTACAATCCAGCAAAGATAAACAGAGGTAAGTACCATAAAAATGGCATGAATTAAGTATTATGGGAATACAGAAAAGGGAAATATTGCTCAGAACTAAGGGAGACAAAAAATCATGAAATGTTTTACAGAGAAGGTGACACTGGAAGCCCTGGAACCAGGTATAGAAAGATAGATTAAACTCTTGACAGTTATGAAAAGAGAAACAAGCAGAAGCAGGTGGAAAGGAAGCATTTCAAGCAAAGGAAAAGGAATATTAGCAACGTCCAGAGGTGAAAAATCACGTATAAATGTTTGGAGAGTATGTTTTCTTACAACCTAGAGTGCATGGAAGGGGTCACTCAGATGTGGGTCTACAAAGTTAGACTGAAATCAGATTACAGACAAATAAACTAAGGGACTTAAATGCAGGCAGGACGAGATTACTGAGCAAGCACAGGGTTTTAAAGTGGGTTATGACACTTACCTGACATGTGAGCCTACTAAGCAAGTGACTTCTCTGAGTGAAATAACAGTAATTATTGTGGTTTTGTACTGTGTCAACTTGGCTAAGCTAGAATTCTGTTTCCCAGGATCCACTTCCCTGTATGGTCAAAAGTTAGAGAAATCTGTGTGAGACTTGTAAGGTGGAAGTTAAGTAGCACTCATTACCCTGGTTATGGTTAGAGGAGATAAGCAACAAAGGCAGTGGTGCTATGTCCAGCTTGCCCTTATTCTCCCATAAACTTGGCATCCAAATTCTTCTTACTCTTGCCCTGGTTACGTCAGGCCCACATACTGTGAAGGAGCACCAGCCCTTCACAGACTTATCCACAATCTGGCAGGTGACTGTGTCTGGCTTTCTAGATTTCCCTATATGGCCTGACCTGTCCACCCGTGCCACTGCTTCAGGAGGCTTGTCAATGATTTTCCCTGACCCTCCAACTACCCCTTTTATCTTCTTCCACAATTGTGTATAAAATATTTCTATTACAGCCTTTATTCTTTAATACTCATAGTGGTTTTACTTCTCTGAGTTCTAAAACAAAAATGTCTATTCTCAGAGGGTTGATATGAGGATTCAATGAGACTGTATGTAAAGTATCAGATGGTAGTGGGCACACAGCAGCTGGTTAATAAATACATTATTTTCCTCTTAGTCTGTAGATCAGGGATTATAAATTGATAATTTATGGACGACAACTGGTGTAACTGGCAAATTAAAAACAAAAATAGAAAAGGAGATTAAAATTAAACTCAAAATTCTGGATTGCTGGATTCCCCCGGCCAAAAAATATTTTTAAAAATCACTAAATCTATGTTAGTTTTGAATAGCAACAACAGGCTGAAGAGGAGAATGATGGTTTTAAAAATATGCAGTTTGAGATACTGAAGTCATATCGAGAAAGATGCCTGGCAAGCAAATGGAAAGGGGGCTATGCAGCACAGAAGCAACAGTACAGATTGGGAAACACAGTTTTGGGTGCCATCAACACAGAGATAATTAATAAAGAACCATCTGTTAGTTTGTTCAACTATGTGCCAAGCATGTTACAGGTGCAGAGGATACATCAGTGTGTAACACAGGCAAAAATCTCTGTTCTCATGAGGTTTAAGTGAGAAGCAGCAGACAAAAAACAAATAGATAAAACATAGGTCATTTATAAAATAATAAGCGATACGGAGAAAAATAAATCTAGTAAGGGGGTTAGAGAATGGGACGTGTATGTGTAGTTTGTTCGGAATTCTATTATAAATACTGCAGGTGTATCTGGGTGGTTTGCAATTTTAAATCAGGAGCTTGAACCAAGATCTGAAGGATGTGAAAGAAAACCAGGTGTATGCTGGGGGTGGAGGATGATGGAGGAAGATTCTACATACAAGGAACAGCACATACAAAAGCCTTGAGATTTAGGAAGAATTATCAAAAGAAAAGAAAGCTGAACTGAGGTAAAGAAATGAGAGGAAGAAACAAAGATGGTGAAGGAACCAGAAGTAATTCATGAGGAAGTAGGACAAGTGGAATGTGATGTTTTAAGAAAGAAGGGGGGAGGTTAATAGCTCAAATGCTTCAATAAATATAAGATGAGGAATGAGAAAGATATTGGATTTGAAATACAGATCACTCATGACTTTCAAAGACAAACTTCCTAAGTTCCTGAAGGCTTACACAGAGAATGACAGAACAAGTCATTTGTGAAGAAAAGTGAATAGTACATTTGGACCACTTTTCCAAAGACAGTAACAATAAAAAAGAAAAAGAGAGAACACAGTGACTTGATGCGGTGGCCAAATTGTAGGACTTTTTAGAAAGAGGTTTCACTTGCTAGTATAGATAGTGATGAGAGGGGGAAAGAAAACTAAATGAAAATCCTTTAGGGTAGCACTTCCCAGCCTATCTAACTTCATAGCACAAAAGAAAATTAAAATATTTGGTATTTGTAGGCCATACTGTAATACTGAGGAAGATGCTCCTGGCCAGAGACAACCTTACCAGGGACTCCAGCTACCCAGGTGCTGCTTAGTTGTTCCAAAGGCTGAAGGGGCTCTATTTTGGTATAATAACCTATTTAAAATATACAAATACACTGTGACACTCTGATTAAAAGGCCTTCCTCTAAGGCTTTTAGGCCTCAAATCTACCAAGCCAAAGTTACAGATAGAGGGAAGATACAAGCTTTAGGGCACGAACTATAGTCCATCACTAATGATCCTAATGGGTACAGCCTACTCAAGTCATACCAATTCAAAATCATGACTTGTATAACTCAGGAAGATTTTTTCCTGACAGGACCCATTAGACAGTGTCATGTTCGGGAAGCCCCTCTGTTTCATATTCCAGAGAATATAATCCCAATGTCTTGGAAAGAATATCAACTGTATTACAGGTGAGGTGACTCCTTAGCCAGAGTGTACATTAATACCACCTACAATAGTAAACACCAGATCCTGTCTTCTCAGAAATTCTTAGAGCCACCAGATTTCCTTTTTGTACAACTATAACTACATCCCTCTTGATCATGTGGCGATGACTAGTAACATAATTGTTACTGCCAGCTCCTTCCACCCTCCATCTCATAGACTCAGGCACATACAAAAACTACGGTGTCATAATTATAGTATGGCTTCAGAGGACAGTGTTCTATATACCCCTTAGAGACACATAGTCTACAACTATCTAAATTTAAGGAGGGAGTGAAGAGGTGAGAAGAGGAGGAAATACTTGATAGGACAAAATCCCAGAGTATATACAAGGCTATGGGGTTAAGGAATGTTTGTTAGAAATATCTTTTTATACAGGTTTTATGATTTACAAATCACTTTTCCCCGTATCTCTTATAATCCTAATAACAATTCTAAAGAAAGATGCAATCCTTTCTACTCTATTGATGAGGAAACCCTTAGAGAAATTAAGTGAGGAGCCAAGGTCACTCAGTTGGTGTCAGGGCTGAGACCAGAACACTGCTCTGTTCTTTCTGCTCCATTATGCTAGCAAAGGGATAGAGATAACAAATAATCATACAGAAAACTGTTGTGATGAGGAGGAAACTGAAATTCACTCAGAGAGGCTCCATGACCTGGCCTCTTCCTTTTTAGAAAAGAAGAATGGAAGCTTATTTATTTCCAAATGGAAATTTCAACTTGAGAGAACTCAGGCTATTGATGTGCTGACAAACTTAGTGACTATCACATTATTCTAGTTCTTCCAAAAGTGGAAAAAAACACGAAAGAAAAGACTGTATTAATGTTTGCACTAAATATAAGCTAAGCAGCAAAATGTTTTATGATTATGACTAATAATTTTATTAAGGAAGGTAAATAAAAATTTTCATTTCTTCATGAACTTGTTCATTCATATTTAATATTCTATATTTGGTCTAGCCTTTTAGAGTTATGCCAAAGAAAACCTGTTGTTTTCTAACAATAGAGTAAGAAACAATCCCAAGATATTTTCATGCAGCTAACACCTGAATAGATTACTAGAAAATATCATATGAACTTCCCAGCCTGAATAATACCTGAATGATAACTGACCAAAGAGGCTTCAAATATATAAAATGGTGTCAAAAGAGAATCAGGAAAGTGACAAAAGAAGAAAATTATGCTGCACCAAGGGTTGAGAAAAATTTCTGAGGTTCTCCATACTGAAGACACCAAGATGTTGTCTAAGGGAACAAAAGAAACTACATGTTCACTTATTTAAGATGTCTTACCATGAGATTCAAGTCCAGCTCCCTGTGCCAGTCCATTGTCATAGGACTGAAAAAGAAAAACATTGTTCAGTTTAATAGGGAAATAATAATGATAATAATAAATGAATAAATAAGTTGCCATTGCACTAAGTTTGTGGTCTCTTCTAATTTTATTTCTCCTTTATATCTTCCAAAATATGTGTTTTTCCCCATGGAGAATAGAATTAGGCATTTTCAAATACCTGATTTTGTCTTCCTATTCACCAAGCCAAATCACTAAATGTATACACTAGGCACATTCTGAGAATAGATTGTTCAAAGTTATCTACATATTCAATCTCAATTCAATAAAAGCTCCAAACCTTACTCCTTTACCATTGCAAGTATGCATGAGTTGGAGGAAAATATAAGGATTTCACACTGATAGAACATTATAAACATGAAACAAGTCTATTTGAGGCAGTCTGGGGTCACTGAGAATAATGATAGCCATTACTGGGTACCATTATTTGAATCTCCCCACATACACTCCAAAATCAAAACAGAAGAACAGTAAAACTTTGAAAACTCAAACCTTAGCAAAGCAAGAAGACACACTCAAGCTTCAGATTACCTGTCTACAGAAAAAGAAACATCAAATTCCAGCAAGTCATCTATTGCAACTCTGACACACCTTTGCAGAGAGCAAGGGTGATTTATGAAAAATCATGAGGAGGGGAGCTAACAGTAGTTCCGAGACTGATCTAAAATCACTGCCTAAAAGAGAAAGTCCACCCTAAATATGAGAAATACAGGCAATTCTCACTTTGCACAGTTCTCTTATGCACACATTCCAGTTGCCATGGTTTAGCTAAGTACACAACAAACTTCAGTAACCACAGCAGCATATTAACTGCAATTGCAGAAAGTACAAAACTCCGTTACTGGCTCTTCAGTCTGCAGATCACTACATAAATAAGAGATGTGCATCATGATCAGTGATCAATTACACCACCTTTTTCAAAGTCTGTTAGGAATTGGTCATTGCACATGTTATTCAGTTCACACACAGATAGCAGATGTGGTTGTGCTCTTTGTCCCTTAGTGATAAACCCACATGATGTTTTATTAAAAGGCATAACAGAAAGAGGGGCTTGTCCAACAAAGATGAAAGTGCAGTAAAGAAATAAAAAGCATTAACACTGGGTATGAAATTAAAATTAGAGTTATAGAAGAAATAGCTATTACGGGGAAGTTGATAATATTGCTGTTTGAGACTCTAGATATACAGTCAGAAGAACTAAGTGAAGGTGAAACATCTATAAGAAAGGGAAGGGCTTGTGATAAAAAAAGATGAAGACGTTCTAGGGAACTGCTATGGGCAAAAAAAACTTCACATAAAAGGAATTCTCAGAGGTTTCACAACACTGAAAACACAAAACATATGTTGGAAGCTGACAGAAGCTTAGATTGTGGTCATTTGCCTACACACAGAAAAAAGACTCCATCTTATAACTTATATAATGAGAAGAGGGCAATATTCTCAATATTTCCAATGTTTAAAATTATAGTATACGATATACTGATTTTACTATTTAAAATATTATAGTATACTATATGCTGATTTTACTATTTAAAACATTATACATTTATAACTGACAGGAAGAGTTTTCAATGTTTTGACAAAAATTTTAAAGGTCACAAAACAATCATAATTTTTCCCATTGATGATTAAAATCATTGTGTATCATTTCAGCTTGTGTGGTTATCACAGCATGGCACTATCATGCAAAATGAGGATAGCCTATTCTGAAAGAGGCCTGGCAAACACAGTACTGGCTATATGGAAGGCACTTAAAAGAATGTGCAAGTCAAGGTGGCATGGCTCAAATTTTGCTGAAGAAAATTAAAAACAGAGGGAGAAGCCCATTGAAAATCAGGTAATAAAGGATAACTCAAAAGAGCAAAATTCAGACACCTGAGAAACAAAAGAGAACCGTTTTCCTACCATAAAAATCATGGAACAATCCCAGCTACAAAGAAAAGCCACCCGTTAAAGAAAGCATACTTCATTACAATGAAGAGAACAATCTTAAACTAGGAATTCTTCTAAGAAAAAAAAAAACTCCATAAAATTACTAACATACAAAGTAACTCTGAGATAAAAACACAGCAAATGAAATGAAAACACCTAAGTATATAAAAATCTGCCTCTACTCCCAAGAAGTAGGCATGAATCAGAAAAAAACTGTAATGTAGCACTCCACACTCAAATACATATCCTCAAACAAGCATTTGGAAATAAAAAAGGAAATTAAAAGTTAAAAACAGATGAACAAACAACAGAAATAAAAAGAGAAATAGTGTTAGAAAAGAAATAGAAGAAAAAGACAAAATAAGAAATAAATTCTAAATTACAGGATGACTAAGGAAGAATAATCTCAAATGAAAATACAACAAGGGACACTGAAAAAAGCAGAAAACAGCCAACAGAATAAAAATGAGATAAATAAGTCAAAAAGGTCAAAGAGAAAGTGGCTGAAAAGGTGAGGCAAAAAAAAGAACAGACACTAAAATGGAATTCCTAAAAAAAAAAAAGAAGAAAAAAAAAAAGCAAATGCAAAATAATGGACTAGAACTAGGGGTCAGCAATGGCCCAAAGGCTAACTCTGGCCTGCAGTCTGGATTTGTATGGCCCTCGAGTTAAGAAAATGGTCAATTACACTCATAATAAAGGAAATAATAAAATGAAAAATCATGAGAGGAGGGGAGCAAAATTAAAAATATGCTGAAATATCATTTTTTGACCACCAGAAAAAAAGGTAAAAACAAAGAAAGTGTAACACTTTTTACTGGTGAGGCTATGTGAAAACAGGCACTCTCCTATATTGGTGGGAAAACAAACTGGTCTATTCTTTTTGGAGAGAAAATGGGAAATCTCTAATAAAATTACATATGCATTTACCTTTTGATCAAGCAATTCCACTACCAGAAATTTACTCTGAAGATGTATCTATAACAATATATAAATATATATGCAGAAAGTTATTAATTACAGCATTATTTGTAATTGCAAAATATATGCTGTAAATACAGAATTGCTGAAAAAAACCATGGTGCATTCACACAGTGGAGTAATATAATAGGAAACTATAAGAAAAAGAGAAAAATCTCTCTGAACTGATAAGGAGTAATTTTCACATTGTACTGGTGGTTTTTTGTTTGTGTTTTTTTCTCCCAAGCTATACTATTAGGTGAAAAAAGCAAACAGCAAAAAAAGAGTATGGTATGCTACCTTATGAAGAAAGAAAAAGCATTAAAAATATACGTATCTTCTCATCAGTAAGAAATGGAAGAAAGATAAACTGAAAACTAATGAGAATGGTTACCTACAGGGTGACAGGGAACAAGATGTTAAGAAGAGGGTGGAAGACAGGGAGGGTGAGGGGCAAGGAGTCATACTTCTCTGTATGTATCTTTTTGTATAGTTCTGAAGTTAAGAACCAAATTAATTTTTCACATATTAAGTAAATAAATAAAGTCAAAGTTGTGGGCAGGAGAGGGCTAAAAGTGAAGGAAAAGCCTAAAATGGAAATCAAAGACTAACAAATAACTTACTTGTATTTCAAGCAGATAACATAACCATATTAAAGGAGGGAAATAAAATAAGTAAATGGAGTACTTCTTAAATATAGTATTCTGACTATATGCCCTCAGACTCAAAACAAAAAGAACCAATGTATTCTGGGTAATAGGAGCCGGGATTGCTTGTCACTTTCAGAGAATGGAGTCACAAATGAAAGGACGAAAGTTAAAATGAGCCCTGTGGTGTTAGACTGAAATTTGAGGCATCACGATATTCATGGTTTTAATATATAGATACATAGACACAGAAATATAGATTGTGTGTGTCTGTAAGGGGATGCCTATGTATGCATACATTTCCTATCTCTGCCTGAGAAAAGGCCTAGAAGTAATGACATCTCAATACCAATGAGCATACCTAGTACCCAGATTCAAGTTTCTAAACTCTATCCTCTAACAAGAATAACCAAGGCTCCTCAAAGAAATGACTGATTCCAGAGCCGAGGATGGAAAAGTAGAAGATAAACCTGGAATATCTTGTGCCAGAAAGCAAGGAGGTCTTCAAAGAATGAGGGTAACATGTCAAAAGGGCATAGAGCCTACTTAAAGGGGCTCCCCCAGGCCTAATCTGGGGCAATCTGAGCATCAAAATAATGACAGTAACAGATAACAACCCATTGAATAAAATTAGAAACTAGAGTCCATAGAGATATAAATAAGTAAGTACAAGTAAATAAATAAATGAAGGCAAAGGGAAAGTTTTTTTGAAACAGTAGAATTTTAACTGATATTTATAGGAAGGATGCGAGAGCTGGAAAACATTCAATGCATACTAACAACACTATTGGATAAAAATTTGATTAGGGACTCACTGAATATTTACAGTCTCCAGATATCTCACCACAAGATATTCAGTAATTACAAAGGGAAAAGTACTAACTTCACAGAGAAAACTCTGGCATATGCCATCTTAGCCAAGTGAGCAGACATAGGGCAAATCAACTTGCTGCACCTCCAAATACAGTGCACTGAGAAGCCAGTATTACTTCTGTACCACTCATACCAAAAATTCTTATCACCCACCCTCCTATCAAACATAAATCTCTTTTCCTCTTAAAACTCCTTTAATGGTCTCTTCTTTCTGTATCCACAGGCTTTTTAAAATTTGTGCTGTTGTAGATTCTACAAAAATCTGATCCACAGTTACACATTCACTTAAATGCAACTCCATTCTTCTTAGGAACTCATAGACATTTTCACTTTGAAATACTGCCTACGAAAAGTTGAATTAACAGCCTAAAATATTCTAACAGCCTCAAAATATTCTAATCTATAAAATGAAACACTTCATTTGGAAAATAATAAACCTATGAAGCAGTAGTTTTATTTCTCCTTTTATACAGAGATGACACAGTACAGCAAAGGATAGTTCTGCTGAGACTAAGCTTTCCTTACTAATGCCAATAAAAAGTCTCATCAAAGATAACATAATCTTCCAGTTTGCTTGTCAGGACTCTCTACTAACTCCTGCTAGAATAAGCTGTCAATATTTGACTTTCAGATTTTACTTCTTTTTCTTTTAAGTCGATCAATCCCTTTCTTATAAAGATATTGCTTCTTTAAATAAAATCATATTAAATTTTAATGGTCAAGGAGTCAATCTGTACTTCATTTCTTTATTGTGGTCTGATACACAATTTACCTAAAAAGCAATCTTAATGCTCTCATTTACAAATGGTTGGTGGAAGAGATGAGACATACACTATAATACAGCCCTCATGTACCAGCAAAAACAACCTAAATAGTCAATTTTATCAATAGAACTCACCATACTTCTTCTAATATAGGTGATGGCCTTTTTCATATCCATGCCTGACCAGTTGTTGAGCATATAGCAAATACAGGAAGCACAGTACACAAATCGCATGTCATTTTCACTGCCTTCAGGTACTGCACAAAAACTGAAAATAATAACAACAGTATGATTTTCTATTAACAATGGACTCTGATTTTTTTTGCATGGGGGTTAGAAACACCTCCTGTGTGTCTTTACTTACAGAAAAATCTGTTGATTATTCCACTTTTATTATTCAATAAAGAATAAGACTACTAACTTGAATAATATAAAACTTTCTCTAAATCATCATTCTAGTACAAACTTTTGATTTCTTGGTCATTTTACACACTACCATGTTACTCCCTCCCAGATGCTTACACAGCATACGCTTATTTGCTCCCAGCCAGGGACAGCTGCAGTAGACTGGCTTGAGGCAGAAAATGTAAAAGGTAAAACCTGAGACCCACTGGGTAGTAAGAAATTTCCAACCCCAAGTTTTTCTACGTGAAATTTCTTCTAAATGTATACACAGATAACCATTTAATCGATTGATCATACTGTATTTTAATTTTACACATTAGTTGTATAGAAGTAGCAATCTATGCTGTATATGTATTTATAAACAAGAATAAGGAAGCAATAATCAAAGGCTACTCTGAAATATTGAGACATAAGCCATATATGTACTGGTTGAAGTAAATATTTAGTTTCATAGTGTTTCCAATTAATGTCAATTTATTCTAATTGTCTACATTTATTTTTCCCTCATCAAGAGCAGTGTTTTGAAAACACTGACAGGAAAACAGAGCTATTAGTAGATGGAACACAAAGAGTTAACAGCACAGCAGGATTTGTTTGCAGTCTTTTCCTTAGCCTTTTTACTACTGCTTTATCCCTTCTCAGACTTAAAAATATTTTTCTACCTTAAAGCTCCAGGAAGATTCATCTGTAGACATACCACGTGAATCACCAAATATTAATGAACATATGAACTCCTTTTTTTATCCTTTAAAAACGTCACAGAAACTACCCTACCTACTCTGGAATATAATATTCAATGTTCACCCCTTTCTTCCCTAATCAGCATAAAGCAAGGAACTGAAGTTCAGACTAAACATATACATCCTTCAAAATATCAATTTTTCATCTAGAATGTAAATTAGATTCCAATCCTGAAATTATTTGACCATTTATTTATGTACTCATTGTTGTTAAGAAGGAAGAGAAAGGTGTTTGCCTATTGTAATTATATTTTCACTCACAGAAGAAATCTTGGGTCACTTTTTTGATTACGCACTTTATCATGTACCTTGTAAGCTTTAGGTGGAGTTCTAACAATAAGAGTATGATCCTCTAAAGATCTAGTATAGTATTGTATCCATTTTTTAGTTCCAAAATATTTTTTTTATTACAAAAAAAGTAACAAAGAATCACTCATACCTCCCATCTTCCAGCTGGAGGGCTCTCAAGCCTGCTAAGCAAGCTTCTTTATTTACTCGGCTTAAGTCGTCTCCAAGAATAACTAAGCATGAAAGGCCAGTGTAAGTCATTGCTATGTGGCCACTATCATAAGGATGAGCTGTTCCAGGAGCCTAAATACAAAATTAATATAGTACTAATTAATGAAGTGATATGAAAACTTATTTCATTAAGAAATCTGACATAAGGTTTTAGTAAATAGTAAAATTAAATGTGGCTTATACTGATTTGTATAGACATCTTATTGAGAAAAACAAATCTCCATTTTATATATATCTCAACATGAATATGATTGAATACATTCCAGGCTACCTAATTTTTAATTCTTTGATATCTCAGGCATTATGGAAGTAGTGATGATATTCAGATAAACCAAAGTATTTATTACTTTTTTTTTTTTTTTTTTGGTAACAGAGTCTTATCTGTCACCCAGGTTGGAATGCAGTGGTGCAATCATAGATCACTGCAGCCTCCAACTCCTGGGCTCAAGTGATTCTCCCACCTCAGCCTCCTGGGTAGCCGGGACTACAACAGGCACAAACCACCATATCTGGCTAAATTACTTAAACCTCATCCTTAATCCTTAATCTGTCTCCTAGACTCTCAGCCACCACTCTGACAGCTCTATGTGATACCACTTGGAATATCTAGTTTCTTTTACCACCCAGAATTCAGATGAAGGTAATACAGCATGAAGTGAGACCTAGCTTGCCTAGAAGATATTAGGGTCCAGGTGAATGAAGGTCCAAAAAGGAGTTTCAGGAGAGTCTGTGAACCAAGGGCAATAATGGTTTCTCCTTCAATTTTACTCCTGTTATTTTGAAAATGTTTTGGTGCAGGCGTCGGTTGGGGGAAGGATCATATTTTAAAAGTAATGTTATTAAAGCACTGCAACAATATAGGTAGATATCTATATATAGTATAGTACTACACAATGGTTATCATAACCAACGGCACGATATTCTGTTCATTATGACTAAATGAAGACATTACCTTTATTCAGGATTAGCTTAAGTTGGAAAATATGATAGGCATGAAAAGGGACAAATTTTCTGAATCCTTTGTTTTCTCATTCCCTGCTAAATACAGTAGGCACCCATAATTGGAGTCCTGCTGGTAAATACATATGACCTTAACACAGGTAAGTTGGTTTACAGCTTAAGGCAGAGGAAGAAAGCTGAAGTAGTACCTCTATCAAAGTATGTCATCTTCTGCAAAATCACTACTATTTATTCCAAAAATTTGAAGCTGATTATGGAAAAACTGGTAGCTCTCCATTTACCTTGCAAGTGGATATAAATCTTGATATACTCAGTCCAACAATGGTTATTATTATAACCATTATATTATAATATAAATAATAACAACCATTATATAAGCAGGCTGGCCCCATCAAGGAAAAAGTTTCTATGTTGTGAGGCCTCTTTAGAAAAAATGATGCTTTTCTCCACTTTATACTGTAGAAAAATATTGATATTTTGTGTACATATGGAACACCTACAAAGTTTCTTCTGGGTCTGCTCCTTTGAAGAAGAAAGCAAGCTCCTCCCTCTTCACACTCACTGTTTTTATACTGGCATGTGCTGGTATCAAAGCCTTTGGATATAACCATGAAGAAGTTCTGCATATTCTCATAAAAGTCATTAAAATAATCACTACCTAGGTCTTCAATCACTACCTTTAGAAGGACTTTATCTTTTATTCCTAAGAAATGTGAGTTAAATGTAGAGTCTTTCTATAACACAGTGAAGTTTACTGGCTTCTTAGAGGGCAAGTATCAAAACACTTCAGTGCTCTACTTTCCTTTACTCAGGAAATCACCAATAACTTTTACACACAGATACATGATACTGAGACAATTTTTTGTAACAATTAATAGAAATTTCTATGTGTTTATGTACTGCATGTATTCTTCCTGGAAGAAAGTGCACTTCTTTGAGGAATTAAGGTAGGTATAGGCTTCCTTTAAAGGGTTTCAGTTTATAATATATATATTATTAGACAATATTTAGCCACACTGAAACCTGGAAGCCTATTTTTTTCTGTGTAATTTCTTAGCTTCCTCTTTTACTAAAATATCCCTAATCCCTTCTGCTTCCTTCTGACCCGAACAGAACCAACCTTTGATGGATTGAATGGAATACCCAGGTATGAAGAGCCTCGGAAACCACAGCGATTTAGATTTGATCCTAGAAAATAAAAGCATGTGCTTATTTAAAGTACACTTTATTTTTTGCACAGATTCTAAAGCAGTTTAATTACACAATCTTTCAGAAACAGACTATTCTAGTCTCCATTTTCATACTGGCTAATGCTGAATGCTTACCATGTGCCAGGTCCGTTCTAGGTGCTTATGGGAATTTCCTCATTTAATTTCCATACGAGTCACAGATAACATAATGATTTCTATCATGTACCTTTTATTAATAGCCCACCTCATGGCCTATAAAGTCCTTTCATAATTCCCCTGTAAGATCAATTTTTACGTGATCAACATATTCAATCCCCCTTTCTACAGAACAGAAAACAGAAGCTCAGAGGTTAAGCGAATGTTCAAGGTAACAGTTAATAACACAATAGGGTCTAGTGTCTTTTTACTTTAAGTCATTTAGTGTCTTTTTACTTTAACTCACTGCTTCTTTACACTGGAGCAAGCTAAAGGTATAAAGTTGTAGAGAAAATATGTACTTTGTATTTCCATATTAGCTAGACCTTCGTTCTGAGTCCAGTAATCCACTTGGCTTTGAAGTAAGTAGAATACTGTAAGTTAGCACTTAGTCTCTCTCGACTCAATCAAAATATGTTTATGCATGCTTTTTTGCTATCTAAAAATTTTCATTTCTCAAGATATCAATGGAATGTAAGTTGGGAACTTAAAAGAACAATCAACTATACAATAATTAGGGTTTTAATAGCTATTAGAAAATCTGTATGATAGATGCTGAAAATAATAATGCAGTATCAGCAGACTGTAAATGCACTGCTGATAAAAAGAATTGAGTTGGTCTAGTCTCTGATATGAAGAACTACCTTCATAAGAGATTATGACTTGTGTATGACTAACTTCATTATAACTGTTTTTCACTCTCCTACTTCTTCATTAGGTACTATACTTTTTCAGCTTCTCATCCCCCCAAAATACTTAAAACAGTAGTTTATACATTAATTCTTTGAACAAATTAGGAACCACTAAATTTAAACTCTCCACCAATTATCATCTCTCTACTGGCAAAAAAAATGTATTTTAAAAAGATACTAGCAGCCAGGCCTGGTAGATCACACCTATAATCCCAGCACTCTGGGAGACTGAGGAGGGTAGCTCATCTGAGGTCAGGAGTTCGGACCAGCCTGGTCAACATGGTAAAACCCCATCTATACTAATAATACAAAACGTAGCTGGGTGTGGTAGCACCTGCCTGTAATCCCAGCTACTTGGGAAGCTGAGGCAAGAGAATTGCTTGAATGTGGGAGATGGAGGTTGCAGTGAGCCAAGATTGTGCCACTGCACTCCAGCCTGGGTGACAGAGTGAAACTGTGTCTCAAAAAAATAAAAATAAAATAAAAAGATACTAATAGTGATTATAATTTCAGTGATTATGGTTCTCTTATCCTAAGGACTTATAAATTGGTAAGCTACTTAAAACTTGCCAATATATAACAGAAGTTACAAAAACACTCATATCCTTTTGACCCAGTCATGATATATCTGAGAATCTATTCCAATAATTTCAAGTATGAGAAGAAATGCACACTTCAGTTTAATACCAGTGAAAATCTAGAAGCACCATAAAAGTCCAGCAGGTTAAGCATATCATGCCTCATGTACTGAAAGAAATACTATATTCCTATTAAAAGTAATAATCATTAGAACTATGTAGCAACACAGAGAAAAGTATTTGATCAAGTTAAGCAAAAAAGTAGGATCCAAAAATAAATGTGCACTATTATGTTTATAATTAAGCAAATGGCACATATCAACAAAGACAGGAAGGGAATAAACAAAATAATATTAATGGTGTGAGATAACATGAATAAGGTTGAATTTTGTTCTCTGTATTAGTCACTGTTGCCATAACGTGTTACCACAAACTTGGCAACGTAAAACACCTACTGCCTTACTGTTCTGTTAAGGTCAGAAATCTAACACAGGCATCATCAGGCTAAAGTTAAGGTGTAGGTAGGGCTACCTTCCTTACTTGGAGGCTTTGGGGGAACAATCTGCCTCCAAGCTCATTCAGGATGCTGGCAGAATCAACTTCCTTGCAGTTGTGTGACTGAGTTCTCCATTTCTTTGCTGGTAGGTATCCCTTTTTGCTCCTAGATCCTCTCTTGCCATTTCTCATATGTGGGCCCCATATCTCAGAGTAGCAATGGCATTCAAATCCTTTCCATTAGACCCTCTCTGACTTTCCCTTCTCTCTTCTGCTCCCTTTCTCTGCAATACCACGACGAACGTTTCTGCGTTCTGCTGCTGCTCATGTGATTTTACTGAGCCCACCTGTACACACGTCACCTGGGATAATCTCTTTATTTTAAGGTCAGTTGATTAGTATAACTTTAACTCCCATCTACAAAGTCCCTTCACAGCAGTACCCAGATTAGTATTTGACTGAATTACCAGGGAACAGAAATCCTGGGGCAACATCTTTAGAATTCTACCTAACACAACCCCTATATTCCAAATGGTACATAATGCTATACTTCAAAAAAAAAAAAAAAAAAAAAAAGTTATCTTTCTCTTACCAACTTATGAATTCCTTTGTCTTTTTTATTTCTGAGACAGAGTCTTGCTCTGTTGCCCAGGCTGGAGTGCAGAGACATGATCTCGGCTCACTACAACCTTGCCTCCCAGGTGCAAGCAATTCTCCTGCTTCAGCCTCCCGAATAGCTGGGACTACAGGCATGCACTATCATGCCCAGCTAATTTTTGTATTTTTAGTAGAGATGGGGTTTCATCGTGTTGGCCAGACTGGTCTTGAACTCCTGACCTCAAGAGATCTGCCTGTCTTGGCCTCCCAAAGTGCTGGGATTACAGGCATGAGCCCACTGCACCCAGTCTATCCTTTTATCATCACTTCTCTTAATCCCTCTCTAGTTGGATGAGGGGCAGTATCAAAAGGCATATTTTCCTATTTGATTAAAAATTTTTTAAATCTTTTTTTTTCTCTTTTTGTTGTTGGGATTGTCTTTTTTAAAGGGCATCCTTTCAAGTTACTAACTTGCTAACAGTCCTCCATAAAAATGTGATCTCATTTCTACTTTTGATGGAAGACAGCTCTGATACCATCTGTCAGTTCTGAATTTATACTTGCAACTGGACACCTTTCTTGAGTCCCCCACCAACTTAAACAATTCTGTCAGGCGTTTTACACAGAGGTAGACATATAGTAGTGGTTCAATCAAATATCTGCTTCTGAGTGAAATAAATGAATGTATTCATTTTCTTAGAGGTAAATCAATAAATGACATTTCCGTTTGCTCACTTCTGTTTTTAGCCTGATTAAATAAATAACTTTTCTGAAAAGCAGCAGAAATATTGATACTGAAAAGTACCATATAAGGTTAGGAGATTATGGCATGGACACTTGGAATCAAACTCAGGATCCTATTCTTCCTATCAATGAGTTCTACAGGCAAGTAACAACCTCTCTGAGCCAGTTCCCTCCATTTTTGAACTAGTAACAATAACACATTGCAAGTAATATATTTCAGGCTTCTTGTAAAGGTTAAAGGACATGTTTAGATTGTACTTACCAAAGTGAAACAAGGCTTAATAAACAGTAACCATTCAAAATCAGTTAATTATATTTTATCAAAAATGAAACGGGAAGAAATTAATAGCTTTTGTTGCAACTTATCAAGGAAAGTTTTTTTAAAGTAAAAATGTTTTTCTTTTTTTCTTTTATTCCAGAAAGACTGTATACTGTCATGTAAAAAGTGTTTGGATCTTAAGCACCACAGTCACAGTATAGGGAAAAGACAATGTAATATTTCTTGCCCTCTTCTTAATCATCTGTGGACTACGAAGCTGGATAAAGAAGTTTATTCTTTATTTATTTTAAAGTGTATACTTTATTCTATAGTAAGAGGTTTTACTGTTTCTTATGGAAAGCTAAGATAAAGTAACTAAGAAATCAAGAAAATTACTCATTCACTAAATTGAGTTATCAGTCACACACTTAAATCCTAATGTTTTAAAAAATGATGCTCATTAGGAGGTAACATTTTCACCACTTAAAATTTTTCACCACTTAGGCCGGGCGCGGTGGCTCACATCTGTCATCCCAGCACTTTGGGAGGCCGAGGTGGGTGGATCACCTGAGGTCAGGAGTTCGAGACCAGCCTGACCAACATGGAGAAACCCCATCTCTACTAAAAGTACTAAAATTAGCCGAGTGTGGTGGTGTGCGCCTGTAGTCCCAGCTACTTGGGACGCTGAGGCAGAATAATTGCTTAAACCCGGGAGATGGAGGTTGCAGTGAGCCAAGATTGCACCACTGCACTCCATCCTGGGCGACAGAATGATACTCCATTTCAAAAAAAAAAAAATCAAAAAATCACCACTTAAAAAATTTTATTAGGTACTCTTTTGTGGTTTCTGTCAATATTTGTCTGCTCTTGTGCTTTCCTTTAGAATTCTAGTAAGCATACCTTTTCATGATAATGAAGAACGTATACACACACAATTCATTGGAAATTTATCACTGAATGCATACTCTGGGTACAGGATAAATTTCTTTCCAGGTTGTCAAACAGCACCATCTAGTGTTCCTATTTAACAGTTGCAAAACAAACTGAAAATTCTTTGTGTGGTCTGGCTGGCCATCAGAATCAACTGCCTATTTTGAAAAAACAGAGATGCCTCTTGCATCTCCCCTCCCATGCCTGCATAAAAACATGAGGATAGGGCCTGGAAAACTGTATTTAAAAAGAAAAACAATCCCTGTTTGACACATAGTCACAGTCAAGAACTACTGATTTGGTAAATATATTCTCCACTTTTGTAGAACCATAGAGTCAAACTAGTTTATGCTGTTAAACAGAAGTACTTTAGATAGCACTATATCATAAAAATTAAGGTTACTTAAGAAAAATGAAAACTGGGTAGATGAGAGAGGTAGCAAAAATGGGAATATGTACATGGATGTACTATGTGTGTGTTTATGTGTAAGTATGCAGGAGGTATGCT